ATGATTCTAGAGTTCAAGTTAAGCCTTAACCTATAAATACAAGTGACAAGCATTTACAAAGTTCTTACTGCTCAGAAGAACTTCGTGAATTCCCTCAATCGACCAAAATTTGTCACGCAATACTAAATTGAACTAGATTATATATACATTGAATAAAATTTTGGTATACATTTATTGTTTACCATTGTTAGATTTACCATACTAAACAAGTTGTTAGTGGACCTAATCATCATGCAGATTTTAGGAAAATCATAACCTAGTAAAGAGGTGTCACCTCAGTTATCTCAAACATTCATACCTCTTAAATAGTTTGGCAAGGTCAAGTATGCTTGCATTTAATATCCCACATGATATTTGCCATTTTCTTGCCTATTTTGGAATTTTTTTCCCAATAGAGATTCAATCATCTGCTTCTGTGTAGCAACTTGTCCTTCCAATATTACTGTATCATAGTAATCAAATCCATGGTCAGAAATGTGTACCTGAGGCCTGATGCATTCAATCAAGAGATAAATTTTACTTCGTCATTTTGGGAAATTGTAGGGATGGAAAGGTTTTTTTTTTTTTTTTGCCCCCTAATGGTGATTGATTCAGACCCTGCATGTTCATTTTCCATAGACTGGATATTTTAAAACTTGATGCATAACAAATCATTATTGACATTTTCAAAAGAGATTTTGTCATGGCTGGGAGTGTGAATAGATTATAACTTATTAATATATTTAGGATTTGTTTTAGCCCCATTTTTTGGATAATTTATCTTGTGATAGTGATTTTCTTTAAGAATGTGCGGTTCGAAAGTAAGAAAAATTTTGGATTTACGCGTAAGATTATTTTATTGAGAGTATATGCTTGAAAATGAATTCGAAAAAAAATAATTTTTTAAAGAATGAACATCAAACAAGGGCTTAATACCATGTAATACTTATCAATTCATCGTACTAAATATGCCGTAAACTAAGTTCTATTTACTCGATTATAAACCTTTGTTCATGGTAATTGTAATCCTCATAAGAAGTTTTCGTGATAGTCGTAAATGGTAAAAATTTCGTGTTAGTTTATAATTTTTTTTACTTCTAAACAGTATCCATATCTTCTGTTGTAGCCAAAGTCTCACTCTTCAGTCGCACGTCTAGTTTCAGAGAACCTACAAGAAAGAATTATTTTGATAGACTATAAAAATATACAAATTAATCTTCAGTGTTTGCAGATATTATAATAATTCAGACATGAATTATAAGCAAAAAAGAGATTATTGGATACTTATCAAACAATGGGAGGATGCATTTGGCTGTCTGACCACATTATACTTAACAAATGAAATATTAATTATATCAAAAAACGACAGTATTGCTGCTTCCATTTGTTGTGAGCTTGC